AGCCTTTCTAATTCCTGAGCTCTTAAAATTAACTTTAAAAAGTTAGGAAAATTACATAGATTTTTTTTTTTTTCTTAACAATGAGGAAGTGCAAGTCTAGCTGCTGCTGTCATAGCAAAGTGTATGCCAGATCCTAAACACGTAAAAACACAAATACAGCAGCCAGGGATTCTCACTGAGCAAAATTGCTTGGTTATCAAGGGAAAACTCCAGAGTGCCAAATAAGATGTGGAAATATCAGAATCTGTAAAAGGCTAGAGAAACACAAGCATATAATAATATAAGTTGGAAGGAACTCTGAACGTCATCTAGTCCAAACCCCTGTTCAAACAGATTAATTTTTTGCTGCCCAATCAGGCAGTTTCTAGTTGAGCATGTTAAGTTTACTTGAAAATTGCTTCCCCAAGTTTTAAAACCCCTACCTTTCTTTATAATTGTTAATATACTAAAACTACTAATTTGAAATTCCCACACTAGTGAAATCTTGGATTTCTTTTAGTAGAGGTTAGATGCCAGCTTGATTCTTAGGAGCATCTTCTCAGCCAACATCCTCTTTCAAGTGTGCATTAGCTATTGTCAGGATAAAATCCTTCCTCTAAACATCTCTGGTAACTGTGTATTTGTTGCTTGCAACTGTTGCTTCTCTGAACCACTCTATTCTTAAGAAGATTACAACAGCATCCATTCACATTAGTTTGTCAGTCCTGCAAACTGGCTTCACTAGTCTATTAAAACCGTTCTGAAAGCTAACGCAAGAGGCAATGGGCACAACTTAAATACAGAAAGTTCCACGTAAACATAAGAAAAAAGCTTTAACTGTGAGAGTGGCTGACTGCTAGGACAGGTTGTTCAGACAGGTTATGGAGTCACCATCCCTGAAGCTATTCAAAACCCAACTGGACATAGCCTTGAGCAACATGCTGTAGCTGCCCCTGCTTTGAACAGGTAGGCTGGACTAGCCAATCTCTAGAGGTCCCTGTCAGCCCAAACCATTCTGTGATTCTGCAGTAAAATGCTGTGCACGCTCTCTTTATTGCTAACAGGTTTCTCCAGTCCTCAGCACGAGAACGTAAGCTGATGAGAATGGATGCACCACAGAGATGGTGAAAAATGTCAGTGCTATCTTCCCCAGTTTTTAAAAATTGTGATTCCACCTCGAAAAAATTCATGACTGGCTTAATGCTAGAACAGCACTTTTACAGATCTGATGTTATTAAAAGACTTAAAGTGTAATGAGATTTTTCTAAGCATTTCTTTAAATCTATATGACCTACAAGTTTGTAAAATAAAGCTGGATATTCTTGCAAGTGCAGCTCTCTCCAGGAACGGGGAGTCTACACAAAATGTTTGCTAACACGGCAAAAGATGGTGATGAGCAATGTTATTATACTCTTGATGTTTCAGAGCAGGCTACTGCAATGCAATGCAAACCAGCAATATAAATGCATTTGAGGGGAATGTCTACATTACAGTGGGCAGATACTCACAGAAGAAACCTGATAATGTAAGAGGAAAAAGTATAAAAGAGGAGATGTCCAAATATTGGACAAATATTGGATTTGGCTTACACATACATGTGTGTGTTTGTGTGTATATATATGTATGTGTATATATATATATGTTCACAGACATATGTATGTACACACACACACACACACACACACACACACACACACACACACACACACACACACACACACACACACACACACACACACACGTGAATGTATACTTTGTATGTTCTGAAGTGAGGCTACTGTGTTGCTAAAGCCTAACTCTTTTAGGTAATTCCCCTATGAATAAATTAGCCAAATACTTAGCGCATGGTGCAACTGGTGAACGTTTGGGTTCTTTGGATTCAGGCTGTTGGATATTCAGAATATAGCTCTAGCTTTTCGGTCGCTAGTACAGTGTTTTGCTTGTTGACCACCAATTGGCCTTGAATGAAGAAATCTAAGTGAATTCAGTACTGACTCAAGCTTTATGACTGGGAAAGACTGAGTCTGAAAGCGGGTGATCAGAAATACTCTGAGCTGTCAATTGCAGCCAACAGTTGAGCACTCACAGTGCCAGTAACTGGTGAGGGTCCGCAGGGCGTTGATAGCAGCCAAGATGTAAGGTGAAGGCTAGCAAAAGCAGCTAACCATTTATTGATAAAGTTTACTCATCTAGATCAGCCTGTTCACACAGGATCTAAAAGGCATGATCTTTCTGAGCAGATTGAGAAAGATGTTCTGTCTTCCCAGGATGATTTAACCATTTTAGATACTCTTTTTTCCATAAGCTTGAATTTTGATGGACTATTTTGGTTTCTGTGCTTGACGGTTAATCACAGAATTACAGAAACACTCTGGTGGGAAGGGACTTTCAGAGGTCTCCAGTACAACTTCCTCAAAGCAGGGCTTTGTCTAGTCTGGTCTTGAGTACCTCCACTAATGCACAGTGCACAGCCTCTCTGGGAAACCTCTTCTAATGCTAAATTATCTTCATAGTGATTTTTCCCCCTCTTTACGTCCAGTCAGAACATCCTTTCATTCTATTTACGACTACTGTCTCTGATTCTCCTGCCATTTGCCTCAATAGACAGTCTAGCTCTGTTTTTTAGGTAACCCCATTGTAGCTGTTGAAAGTTGCTATTAGGTCCTCCTGAAGCCATCTCTTCTTCAGGCTGAGCAAGCCCTAATCCCTCAGCTTCCCCTCACAGGGCATGTTCTCCAGCAATTTTGCCATGTTGGTGGCCTCTGTACTCAAGTTTATGAACATCTTTCTTGTATTGGTATGTGGATGCACTACATAGATACATTCTAACAGCTGCTGAATAAAGGGGAACAATCACATTCCTCAGGGTACTGGCCTGTTAATAAATCCCAAGATGCTGTTAGCGTCATCACTGAAGTTCTGACTTACAGTTAGTCTCCTGTCCCCCAGAACTGGCAAGGCCTTTTCAGCAGAGCTGTTCTCCAGACAGTCTGTCAGATCTGAGTCTGTACCTCTGCAGGGATTTAGTCTGTTCCAGGTGCCAGACTTTGTACTTGTTGAATTTTATAAGGTTCCTGTTGGTCCATTCCTCTAGCCTTTCTAGGTTCTTCTGAATGACAGCCCTGCCCTCAAGCATATTGACTGCACCCCCAGCGTGGTGTTGTCCACAGTCTTGACTAGGTACGTTATGTCTCCTTGTCCAAGTCATTAATAAAGATATTAAACTGGTCCCAGGATAAGCCCCCAAAAAACTTCACCTGCCACTGGTATCCAGGTAGAATACAACCGGTTAACTACTACCCTTTGAGACTGGCAATCCAGCCAATATTTCACCCATCTAATATTTCATCCATCCAGGCCCTAACATCCTAGGTCAAGAATATTGTGGGAGATTGTATCAAAAGCCTTGCTAAAATCAAGGTACAGAACATTCACTGCTCTCCTGCATCCACAAAACCAGCCATTTCATCACAGGAGAGAATCAGGACAGTCCACCATGATTTACCCTTGGTAAGTCATGTTCTTCTCTTTCATGTGTTCAGAAATGGCACAGATGCACTCGCTCCATGATTCTCTTATGGATGCAAGTGAGGTTGACCAGCCTGCAGTTCCCTGAATTGTCTTTATTTCCTTTTCTAAAGATAGGTGAAACATTTGTCTCTCTCCGGTAGTTGGGAACCTCCTCTGGTCTCCATGATCTTGCAAAGATGATAGTGAGTGGCCTTTCAGTGATATCAGTCAGCTCTTTCAGCCTACTCAGAGGCAACCAGCCTAAATTGCATAGACTTGCATGGGACTCATACAGCTAATTTATTTTGGATAGGATCTGAGCAGCTACTGCATAAATTCATTCCCAGCTTTGGCTGTGTGTAAACATTGTGCCTCCCAAAGTTAGTTACGTTCAGTCTTAAACTAGAATCCTTTTCTCATAATTTGCCTGTGTTGTGCTTTAGTACTGATCATGAAAACATTCTATTTTGTTGGGTTTTTGGCCATTTCCTTGCCTACACAATTATTGTTAATGTGCTATTGCTGACTAATACCTTATCACTGTCACAAAGGAGTCCCAAATGAGATGACTAACTTCTTTCACCTGAAATGTTTTTCCTGTCATGAGGTCTGACATAGATTCTCTTATACGGATTATCTTTTAACCAGAAAGATCACATACCTCCAAAAGCTGGAGATTCCGTTGGTTTCTAATTGCTTTTATCAGTTTACCTGGGTTTATAGTATGCTTTTTTTTTTTTGGTGTGGAAACTGTGAGAACTGAGGTATATAGAGCTGATAGAAAAAAATCCTTTAAACGCTGATTCTAGTTCCACCAGTGTGGTTCTCTCAACTTCGTGTTTTAGTTTGACCATAGTATTACTGCCATAAGGCTAACAAGAAGTTATACTTACCTCCTAGTCCCAAGTCCAAACAAGCATTTACATCTATTAATTTATGCTGTTAGACACTGTAGCTACTGACTAAGCCTAGCTTTCAGAAATATCATGTATTAGCTAACATATTCGTATATGGCATTGCCAAAGGCATCAGAACTGATATTAAGCAGAGAAGTTCAAAAAGAGAACAAAGCATGGCCTCACTTCTTTGAGGGTCAGAACAGTCTTGTCATCAAGAGCATTTTAAGGAAAATTAATTGCCTGCGGAGACATGGCTATGTGATCTTGCTCCAAGCACCATCTTCTAAAAAATATTTATCAAGAAAAAAAAAAGAAACCTGTCGACTCTGGCCTTTGTAGTTTTCCAAATCTGCAGTGTTTGGCTCTAGAAAAACTGGCAACAGGAAAAGCAGTTTATAATTAGTGTCCAGTTTATAAGTTCACTCACATTTTTATAGTTTGTTACTTTTGCTTTTGGCTACTTGGACCCTACCTCCAGGAAGGAGGCAGCAGGCCCCTATTACCATCTATCACATTACCTCTGTGAGGGTTTGTGCAAAGTCATCTGTGCTTTAACTGGGAAGAGAATTTAAATTTCCAAGGGAGAAGATGTGCCTGCTTGGCCACACTAACCTTGAAGCTAAACAGAGCAAGTCTGTAGTGCTCCCACGTGGTCTGTCAGCACAGGTGTCGCTTGGGATAACAGTGCCTGGAGCTGAGCGGCGCGGACCCTGAAGCCTTGATACACATCTAAGGCTGGGCAGATTGTTGGACAAGCTGGAAAACATAGTCAAGGCTTCTGCCATGTGAGATAGTCTGTTTCTAGTTAATTTCTTAGGCAAGCTGGGAGAGCATATTGCAGCTTGGTCTTGTTGGGAGAAAGAGGAAAATGTGCAGGTAGGTAAACAGACCTCATACTGCAGGTATGCATGATAGGGATAGTAAAGCTCACTTCAGTGCCTTAAATTTTCAACAGGTTAATTTCTGAGTACTTCTCTTTGCAACTTTGGTGTTCAGCCACGCGGAATGAGGTCGAATTTGGCATGGGCTTCATAAACTTGCCGCGTGCTCTTTGACCTACACATCTGAGACTTCATACCTTTTGGCTTTCAGGAAGACCAGACCTTCCTAACTTCATCAACTGGAGCCTGTGGCTTGCAGCTTGCCGCTGCACTGCGTGTCCTGACACCAGCACTCCCAGCTCCTATCCTGAGTTTCATCACTGACTGGTTAAAATGACACCCCCATGCTTCTGCAGAAAACCTCGAACTATTAAATAGCTTTAAGCCCTGGCATCTGAAGGAACGGCAGAAGGCAAAGCACCCTGGCCAGCCTCATTTCCCAAGGAACTGGAATTCATTTGTCAAGCCTGGGCTCCCGAGCACTCTCCCCCGGGCCCCTCGGGCCGTGGCAGGGGGCCGG